TTTTTTGAAGATGTTTAATACGACGTTTCGGAACTAGGTACGTTCCATCATCAGGTTTTCTGTCAAATACAATGTTTTTTAAAATACTGATTAACATTAATTAACAATGGTCAATACAGATTAATTAGAAAAAAAATTTTGTTATAAAGGAATGGATTATGTACCGGATAGATAGTATTAAGACTTAACTAAAAAAGGTTTTATATAAAATTGAGAAGCAAAAATTATTACGTAATAATTTATATATCCCTATCACTAATATTTTTGTTAAAACACTCGATTTTTTTGGAAGATATTTGTAGATGTTACGACTACACAAGACTTAAACACACTGATATGGATTTCTGTCTGCCAGATGTAAAGACAAGCACGGAACTCTTGGCAAAAATGATTTTTATTATGGCTCTTGTTTGGTAATTTTACACGAAAAAGGAAAAATATTGCTTTAGTAAAGTGTTGAGAAATATTATTTTATATATATATATATAGAATATATATATATATATATACATACATACATGAACATGTTATGCACACCTACATACTCATACATACATATGCACATATCTATATATTAATGTATCCACAATTATACACATGAACACATATGCAAGTGTATGTGTATAGTGTATACCCAAAAACATACATATAAGCATATATGGATGTACTATATTATAACAATATACATGTATATCTATACACATATTCAAAAACTATTAGGATTAATTATTTTTAATCAGGTTTAAAAATTTTAATATGAGTATATTTAAATTTTTTAAACCTGATTAAATAATTAATCCTATTAGTTTTTGAATATGTGTAATATATACATGTTATATGTTTATAATATTGTACATCCATATATATGCTTATATGTATGTTTTTGGTATACACTATACACATACCTTGCATATGTGTTCATGTGTATAATTGTGGATACATTAATATATAGATATGTGCATATGTATGTATGAGTATGTAGGTGTGCATATACATGTTCAGTATGTATGTATATATATATATATATATATATATATATATATATATACATAATATTTCTCACATTTACTAAGCAATATTTTTCCTTTTTTCGTAAATTACCAAACAAGAGCCATAAAAAATCATTTTTGCCAAGAGTTCCGTGCTTTGTCCTTTACATCTGGCAGACAGAAATCCATATCAGTGTGTTTAAGTCTTGTGTAGTCGTAACATCTACAAATATCTTCCAAAAAAATCGAGTGTTTTTAACAAAAAATATTAGTGATATGGATATATAAATTATTACAGGTAAATAATTTTGCTTCTCAATTTTATATAAAACCTTTTTTAGTTAAGTCTTATTACTATCTATCCGGTACATAATCCATTCCTTTATAACAAAATTTTTTTCTAATTAATCTGTATTGACCATTGTTAATTAATGTTAATCAGTATTTTAAAAAACATTGTATTTGACAGAATAAACCTGATGATGGAACGTACCTAGTCCGAAACGTCGTATTAAACATCTTCAAAAAACAAATTGTTTTTTTATTATTGGATTTACTGTTCGGAAAAGAAACAATCAATATATTGAAAAAATCCAGGACTTATCTATTGAATATATATATATATATATATATATATATATATATAATATATTACCTGTATACTGTCAATGGTATTTTTCTGTCGATAGTATTGTCTCAAGCACAAGATTAAGATTGCAGCATCTACGCCGATCGCTATAATTTCACCCAAATAATCCATTTCGTCTTAGGTCGAACAACTGCATTACGGTCGTATATTACCACATAAGTTTGCATAAACCGTGTATATTTGACGTCTAGCTATTGAAATTTATAAATATCATTTGACATTAGTTCGAAATGGTTCAAAATCTATCTAGTGCATTTAGACCAACAAAGTCATTTTTTTTAATAATTGACAAATATTTTTCCACTTTGAAGTTGTAATTGGTTTTATATACTTTGACAGATCACTATGCGATATGTGATCAAAAATGCAATCCCTAGCAAAAGAATTTTATGCGAATTCAATTTTTGACAGGCGAGTGGAATTATAGGTTATCCAATGATAAACGTCAAACTATTTAATCCCACAATGGGATTGTCGAGAGTGATTTTCAAGCAATGTTATGGAACACCAAAAGTTTTCTGCAGCGTACTAAACAAACAGAAATATCTATCTTTTCATTTGTGCCATGGTGCAGATCATGATAAAACGGATAGTACAAGATTATTTACCAACATGTGCCTTCTGGCAGTTGGGTGTTTTGGATTGTGTTTGTTTAAAAAGGATTTTTCCGTTTTCCCTTCTGTCAAAGCTGCAAGTATATTTTCTAAAGATTTGAAAGGAAGACGAGGCCAATACAATTTCATTGCTGATGTGGTAGAAGTATCAGCTCCTTCAGTTGTTTATATTGAAATTAAAGACAGTAGAAGATTAGATTTCTTTACTGGGCAACCAGCTACAGCTTCGAATGGATCAGGGTTTATAGTAAGACAGGATGGACTTATTCTAACAAATGCCCATGTTGTAATTAACAAACCAAACAGCCAAGTTCAAGTTCGTTTACTGGTAAATATTTAATGTTTATCCTTTGGTAAATATATAATGTTTTTTATATATTATTCTAAAAAATTATGCAAAATGCAATTTGTTATAGTGTCAATGTTACAATATTTTTTTATTACTTTTTGTCAGTTTAATATTGCTATTTATATTTTTTACTAGCTGACCCGGCAAACGTTGTTTTGCTAAGTAAGGTATATTCTAAACAATTTCTAGAGAATCAAAAATATTAATACTTTAAGTGTATAAGGATGTGTTGTTTGAATGCTATATACAATGAAGTATTATACAACCAATAAACTCCATTTAGTTTGTCTATATTTTTTCAATACAATCAAAGTGGAAGATTTATACACCTTCTATAGAAAACATAGTATAATCCATCCAAGTCTTTTTTGGTCTTTCGACTTATTGATTACGTTTCAAGTTTTTAACATTCTTTTTCGATTCGAGATTTTGTGTATAATTGTAAATAATACTACTGAGCTTATACAAAATTTTCAATTTTTTGCAAGGAGAGATGGCAAAAAATTAAGTATTTCTTTTTTGACCTGCTTTTTGAAAAGTTTCAAGTAACATTCGATGAATTAAAGTAAATTTAATAAAAAATATATATGTAGAGCAGGGCGAGGCACAAAGGTCCAATTTGACTTTGAGCAAATATAAACTATAATGTGAAAACCATAACAATTATATCACAACAAATAACACATATCAAACGAACAATTATCTGACTACGTTCAGTAAACTGCCTTCTACTTCATCATTGTAGAAATGTGCCTTTTTGATCTCTTTCAAAAATTTGTTATCTAGACCTTTCTACCCTATTGGCAGGGTAACTTGAAACAGGCAGGTGGCAAAAAGGTTCAAAGCCTTATTATAATATTAAAGGTATTTTACAAAATAATTATATTATTAACTACCAACAGAAGCAAATACTTTTATTATGGATTTTCAAAGATTACCATTTATTCCCGATAGCAAAGTCATGAGAATCAAAGTTATAGCTGGTTTTACAACTTTTTTCCTCTACTTTCTAATATTGCTATTAAACAATGCTTAGCTTCACTGATTTTTGACACATCTGTGGTGGAACTTTTTAACCCCGGACCTTTATATATTACTATCTATTCTTCGATAAATTCTGGAAAATTATAACTGGGAAAATGTCATTCGTCAAAATGTCCCTTTGATCGATACCAAATTTAGGTTCTGATTTTAACACACGTAAATAAAAAATAATATAACCTAGAAAATGTTTTATAAATGCCAATGAGTATATAATTATACAGATGAGATCTTTCAGAGCACCGTGTTTGAGAAAAATATGCCAAAAAATGCATTTTCATATTAAATTTTAAAAAGTTGATATTTTGAGTCTCTATATAATACATGAGTCTCTAGTAATACTTGCGATCCGTTTAATAACGTTTTTGTGTATAAATGTAACTACGAACAAAACTACTTACTATTTAATCATAATTAAATAATATTCGCGTAAAACATTCTATTAAACTTAATTGAACATCATCTGTCAAAACGTTTGACATTTCACGTGTTAGCCACCGTCCATTGTTTTATTTAATTTACGCTTCAACAAAAATTTTCAAATTAAAAGTGTAAAGTTTCTACGCGATTTTGAAATAATATCTCACCTTTCCGACAACCTACTGATTAGCACGAATTTTTCAAGACTAAGACTGGCCAAATCGATTCAGCCGTTTTCCAATTTTACTTAGACATTTGAAAGAGAGCTCCATTTTTATATATAAGAATATTAATAATCTTTTAGATTATCAAACATATTAGGTGCGCAACTAAGCTCTCATTGTTTTTAGATGAAAATGTAACTTTATTGTATAAAAACTTTTACATCTGATTCATTCAAAGTATTGCACAAGACTAGACACATCTTTTGCCCATCTTTCTGGCAGAGCTTGCATACCTTGGTGCCAGAAGTGTTCATCTTTTGACGCTATCCACAAATCAAGTCATTTTCTGACGTCTTCATATGAGTTGAACTGCTGATCAGCCAGGCCATGTGCCATCGAACGGAACAAGTAAAAATTGGACAGTGCAATATCTGGGAAATATAGCAAGTGGGGTAAGACTTTTCATTTGAGCGTTCCCAAGCAGGTTTTAACAGGCTTAGAAAAGTGAGGCCGAGCGTTGTCATGTAGTAAAATCACTCTACCTGTATTGTGACTTTTTGCTAAATTGCATCAATTGAGTTCGATACAGTTCTCCAGTGATGGTTTCGCTTGGTTTTAACAGCTCATAATAAATAACACCAACCTGGTTCCACCATATGCAGAGCATAACTTTCGCAGTGAATATTCGGTCAAACCGAGATTTTTTCCTTTTTGGATTGCTGCAATTGATAACTTTTTATCACCTGCCACGATGTGATGGAGAACTCCTTCTCTTCTCGGCATGTTGTTTCGCTCATTGTCAGAGCTGCGGTTTTTTCAAATGGAAGAAGAAAATCGCAAATGACGCAAATGACGATTGTTTGGCATAAAATTAGACATATTCACTTAACCAGAAGTATATAATGCAAAAACGAAATCACTTATATGTCGCAACAGTTTGTTTACCATATGTCTAAGCTTGGTTCAAGACGTTTTGGATTTTTCAAAATCGACCAACCCTTACTGCTAGAGCCACTTACTGACAAACATCGAGAATTGAGTTGCGCACCTAATATATTTTATTTCTCAATAAACCGTGTGATCTTCTTATTAATAATTTATGACTAGCCATCTAATTATTTGTCACCCACACTTTTATTAATAACATTCAGAACATTAGTTACTTTTTATGAGTTATTTTGATTGACTAGAATATAATTTTAGATAGTAACCTAATGAGTATTTACTATTAGATACAGTTTTACTGGATCAAGTTAATTAGCCATACTTTTTTAAATCTTCTTACTTCTTGTCTAAGGAGCAGCGGAGCAATGAGTGAATTGGTGTGATTTTCTAATTTGTGATGATGATAAGTAGATCTTGCTCTCATAAAGCCTTTAATATACAGCACCTTCAGATCATCATGAGAGTGCATCTGTCATCATTCTAAATAATTTTGACTGGATCCTCCATGCCAATACCACATTAGATTTGCTAGAGCATCCCCAAAGATCTATTCTGTATGACCAGTTAGGAATTATGGTTTCTTAAATAAAGTGTTACAATTATGGGCAACCGCCAAGCTCTATTCCTTATGACCAGATAGGTATTATTCTCGTTTTATGAATCAAGTGTCACAATATGGCATTCATAAATAGACAGATAATGAACTAGTTATTTTAATTAGTGATCTATAATAATTATGATTCTGTTCCAAATTTATTAGTAATAATTAATCATTATCAATTCACATGCAAGTTAGCAAATTTACATTATATTTTTTACCAAAGAAGACTTGCATTTCATGTTTGCATTTAATCAAATTTTTATATTTGATATATATTCTTATTATTGCTTAATTACACAGGTCCAAAAAATAAAAAAAGTTGTCTGTATTGGATATGCGACATATGTTTTTCTATGTACTTTTTTACACAAATCTAAATGCTGCTGGATTCTACAAACAGTAACTCGAAAGTTGAAAAAGCATCGGAGAAAGCGTTACACAGGTCATTTAAGGTGAAAGGGCTTAGGAAATGACAGAAATTATAAGATCTTAATCATCGTGCAATAGAATTACTAGATTTTGCTGTTATTTTTTATTTTTCTTTTTTTTTGGCAGTTTGAACCCGAATTTGGGGACATTAGATTCGTGTTTAGCATTAAAAAGTATATTGGAAAACATATATTGCAGACCCAATACAGACTACTTTTTTATTTTGTGGACCTGTGTTATCATTCATGTTGATTTTTTTATTTTTATCCATATGATATAACATATAGAAAAAAAACACATAAATTAGAATCAAACTTATAACTTCACCTTATCTAATGTGAAACGTATAATTTGTAATATGTTTCATGTTCATATGCCTCTCATTCAAGAATGTATGTATATGGATATTATATTATATATATATATATATATATATATATTATATATATATATATATATTTTTTGTAGAGTTTCGAACAAGAATCCAAAAATAATACAAAATAAAAAAACAAGAAAAGTTTTTAATAAACAATTTCTTTATTTAATTATTTGTTTACTGTCAACGTTTCGGAACTAGGTACGTTCCATCTTCAGGACATCTGTCAAGAAACATGATCTTGATAAGATTTAAGCAAACAATATGTTTAAGAATATTAAGAAAATAGATTTTTCTTAAATAATAAATTAATTGTAACAAATAATAATGTACAGAAATATGATAATATGATCAAAATGAAAATGATAAAAATAAATGAGTGGATTATTAGAACAGGATATTAAAAATGATAGAAATTTTTGAAAGTTATGGAAAAATTTTTAAGAAAGGATTAATGATAAATTGAATTAATTACCTGTATGTTTGAATATACGTTAGCACTTTTTCACTAAACAAGAATTTTTGACAAAATGAATTTGTGAGTTATTTTTCCGCCGAATAGTTAACTTTGTAAATCAAAATTACTAAAAGTGTTGTCTTTTTAAAATTATTATTTGAAAACAAATAATATTGTATTCGAAGTTATACTATTGGCTTTTGGAAGCGAACTAAACTGTATTTGATGATTCATATGTAACACGTGTAAACACTTGAAACGAGAACTGTGAGATTGTACGAGAACTGTGAGATTGTATGTGTGGTTTTTTTCTCATGTTAGGGTGTAAATACTTAAATTATTGAACTTAAAATGAAGTCGATATTAATTGTTTGTCAAAAAGTGTAAAAAATTTAAATATGAATCATGTAATAGGTGTGATCTGATCTAATGTTGACACTGTTAGAAACATTCAAGAGAATAAGACAAAACTCTCCGCGAATAATCTCCTAAAAATGCAACTTTCATGATATAAAATCTTTGGAGTGAAATTAAATGAATGGGCGTTTTCTATAGAGTGTTGTACTAGGGTACTTTTGAAATTTTTTTGTTTATGGTGGACCACACTTAGTTCATGTTGTCTCATTCTCTTGTGTACATATTGCGAGGTTTGTCCAATATATTGAAAAGCACAGTCATTACAAGAAAACAGAATATACTACTACTACTACATACTACTTTCTTGTAATGACTGTGCTTTTCAATATATTGGACAAACCTCGCAATATGTACACAAGAGAATGAGACAACATGAACTAAGTGTGGTCCACCATAAACAAAAAAATTTCAAAAGTACCCTAGTACAACACTCTATAGAAAACGCCCATTCATTTAATTTCACTCCAAAGATTTTATATCATGAAAGTTGCATTTTTAGGAGATTATTCGCGGAGAGTTGTCTTATTCTCTTGAATGTTTCTAACAGTGTCAACATTAGATCAGATCACAACCTATTACATGATTCATATTTAAATTTTTTACACTTTTTGACAAACAATTAATATCGACTTCATTTTAAGTTCAATAATTTAAGTATTTACACCCTAACATGAGAAAAAAAAAACACACACATACAATCTCACAGTTCTCGTTTCAAGTGTTTACACCGTGTACATATGAATCATCAAATACAGTTTAGTTCGCTTCCAAAAGCCAATAGTATAACTTCGAATACAATATTATTGTTTTCAAATAATAATTTTAAAAAGACAACACTTTAGTAATTTTGATTTACAAAAGTTAACTATTCGGCGGAAAAATAACTCACAAATTCATTTTTGTCAAAAATTCTTGTTTAGTGAAAAAGTGCTAACGTATATCAAAACATACAGGTAATTAATTCAATTTTATCATTAATCCTTTCTTAAAAAATTTTTCCATAACTTTCAAAAAATTTCTATCATTTTTAATATCCTGTTCTAATAATCCACTCATTATTTTTATCATTTTCATTTTGATCATATTATCATATTTCTGTACATTATTATTTGTTACAATTAATTTATTATTTAAGAAAAATCTATTTTTTGAATATTCTTAAACATATTGTTTGCTTAAATCTTATCAAGATCATGTTTCTTGACAGATGTCCTGAAGATGGAACGTACCTAGTCCGAAACGTTGACAGTAAACAAATAATTAAAATAAAGAAATTGTTTATTAAAAACTTTTCTTGTTTTTTTATTTGGTATTATTTTGGATTCTTGTTCGAAACTCTACAAAAAATATACACAAATCCAAGACTCTACCATTCACTATATATAATATATATATATATAATATATATATATATATATATATATAGATATATATATATATGTAGCGGCTGTCAACACGCATCGCATTTCTACTGACAGATATGCTCATCATAGTGACAGCACGGAGGAGGAAACAAAATAGTGCAATTGTCAGTTGGGATCTCTCTATTGTTTCTCCCCGTATCACTGCCAAAATTATAATATAACACTTTTCCTTTTTATTGAAAATACACAAATACTAACTATTTATACTAAATGATAAATATGATAACACTAGTGCCGTTATATATTTACATATAATCATATATATATATATATAATATATATATATATATATAATATATATATATATATTTGTAGAGTTTCGAACAAGAATCCAAAAATAATACAAAATAAAAAAACAAGAAAAGTTTTTAATAAACAATTTCTTTATTTAATTATTTGTTTACTGTCAACGTTTCGGAACTAGGTACGTTCCAATCTCCAGGTCATCTGTCAAGAAACATGATCTTGATGAGATTTAAGCAAACAATATGTTTAGGAATAGAAAATAGTTTTTCTTAAATAATAAATTAATTGTAACAAATAATAATGTACAGAAATATGATAATATGATCAAAATGAAAATGATAAAAATAAAGAGTGGATTATCAGAACAGGATATTAAAATGATAGAAATTTTTGAAAGTTATGGAAAAAAATTTTTAAAAGAAAGGATTAATGAAAAAAATTTTTCCATAACTTCAAAAAATTTCTATCATTTTAATATTCCTGTTCTGATAATCCACTCATTTATTTTTATCATTTTCATTTGATCATATTATCATATTTCTGTACATTATTATTTGTTACAATTAATTTATTATTAAGAAAAATCTATTTTCTATTCCTAAACATATTGTTTGCTTAAATCTCATCAAGATCATGTTTCTTGACAGATGACCTGGAGGAGATGGAACGTACCTAGTTCCGAAACGTTGACAGTAAACAAATAATTAAATAAAGAAATTGTTTATTAAAAACTTTTCTTGTTTTTTATTTTGTATTATTTTTGGATTCTTGTTTGAAACTCTACAAAATATACACAAATCCAAGACTCTACCATTCAATATATATATATATATATATATATATATATATCTATATAGATATATATTACAATTATTTTAGATTTTTTTTGTGCGATATTGAGACATATCTTGTATATTGGTTTTCAGCCAATGGTCAAAATAAAAAAAAGATAATAATAAAATATTTATTTATATTATACGTTTTGACACGGATTGTGTGTCATCATTCAGCAATTTTTGTTATTCAGTATCTAAAAGAATTTTTATAAAGTTTTAAAAATAAATTAAATTTTATAATTAAAATATATTATAGATTAAAAGAAAAGATGACAAGTAAAAAATTGATACATACCACACAAGGAAAAACAATAAAAAAAATGTTTTTGTTAATTACATATTGAAAATAAACAATATTAACTAAACATTTTTTTTGGTTTCAAATTTAAACTAAATAATGAAAAAATATAAGGAAGTAATATGTTTAAAAATATTTTACACATTGTACTTTACTTTTTTATAGGATGGTACTACATACACCGGGACAGTTGAAGATGTAGATATGAGGTCTGATTTAGCAACTGTACGCATTCCAGTTAAAAATTTGCCAGTGATGAAACTAGGTTCTTCTTCAGAATTGAGATCAGGTGAATTTGTGGTTGCCATGGGCAGTCCATTATCCTTAAGTAACACTGTGACCTCAGGAGTTGTCAGTACAACACATAGACCATCTCAGGAACTTGGCTTAAGAGGTACAAATTATAAATAAAAGCCATTGTAGTATTAGTATATATATATATCTTTTTTTAGGAAAGGATATGACATATATACAGACTGATGCAGCTATCACATTTGGGAATTCCGGTGGACCTTTGGTGAATTTGGATGGAGAAGCCATTGGCATAAATGCTATGAAAGTTACAGCTGGAATAAGTTTTGCAATACCAATAGATTATGCAAAAGATTTTCTTAAAAAAAGTAATATTATAATGATTATCCTGTTCTTGAAATGTTATGTTGAAAACTTACTTCATATATATTTTATATATAAATTATATGTATATATATATATATATATATATATATTTTTTATTTATTTATATTATATATTAATGATACATATGTTGCTAATCCTGTAGTGAGACTACATAACTCTTTGTTTCAACTTTTATATATTTTATTTATGTTTTGTATGTGTTAAAATATGAATATCTCACATGTATGGGGAATATTTTTTGCAGGTGAGGAGAGAAGTAAACATCCTACAGTTAGTTCGGCAATTAGAAATCGTTACATGGGTATCACAATGCTGACTTTGAGCCCTGATATTTTACAAGAACTGATACAAAGAAATCATCCTGTACCTACCGATGTACATCATGGTGTTCTAGTTTGGAAAGTTATTATAGGATCACCAGCACATTCGTAAATATTAATTATTATTATTATCAGTAAATATAATCCAATTTTTTATATTCAACAAGGGCTGGGCACTTTGCCGTGCTTAATTATACCAATTTTGTACATTCTATCTCATCATTTCTTCATTTCTTCAAAATATCGTTGAATACATGTGGAAGTCTTTTGAAACGTGCTTTCTGGAAAAACAGTAAACTTTTTCAAAAACTAAATAATGATGAGGTTTTATTTTTATTAGTTTCAACGATATTGTTTATAATAAAATATCTTAAATTATTTTTTATTAGTGCACAAAAGGGAAATATATTTATGCGTTTCGTATTTTTTTACCAGTGTGGTTGTTTTTAAATAGTATACTTTAATCAAAACACCTATAAATCATTTAAATACTAGGGCGAGGCTGATTTTATTCTACACTGTACTGACTATGTACCCTATCTGCCATACATAAATTGAAGCTTCACAAACTATGATAACTAAAATTATTCAGTATACTTTATGGGGGGTATTATGGTCTAGTAGTTTTAAGAAATCAAAAATTTGATTAGGTAATTTCAAGAATACGTTAGATGATTTTTCAAAATTTTAATTATTATTTATTTGTATTATTTATACCGCTTCTACTTCTTTTGGAATGGAAGTTGTCAAATCATTGTATTTGTGAACTTAATGTTTAGATTCAGAAACTCAAAATAATAAGTTTTTGAATCAAAATATTATTATTGATATATCTGTTTTTTTTTTTTGATACGATATCCATTTTGATGATTTAATTGAAATCTTTACAGAATCTTCTTTATAGGCTTATTGTCACTATGAACAATGTTCTTTTAATATAATTTGATTTATCTGTTTTTATTTATTTTTTATTTATCTTTATTCAGTATTCTTAAAACTCACATAAAATTCATGCTCTTAAATACTTTCATTATATAAAATTTTGATGACATTATTAATACATGTGGACACATGTTTTTAAATTGAATTCTTTAACACTTTTTTCTAATAATTTTCTGCTATCAGTTTGGCAACTTTTTTATTTGGTATAATTCAATCATATTTTACCAGCATTTTATATTAATTGATTAATATTTAAATTTTTTATATTATAATTTCTCTATATTTACTTGTTTTATTGTTTCTCAATAGTGGTGGCTTACATCCAGGGGATATTGTAACTCACATTAATAAAACACCTGTAAGAACTGCATCAGATATTTATTCTGCCTTAGCCGCACATCAAATTTTAGAAATGACAGTTGTGAGAGCTATGCAAAGAATTACAGTAATTATAAGGCCTGAAGAAACGTGAGTTTTTTTAAATAGCTGTGATTCTAAAATAGTAATGTATTTCAAATAATCGCCGTTTAAAATAAATAGATTGTTGTGTATTAGTTCTAATATAAATTTTTTAAATAAATTTATTTATTTATATTTTTCAAGTGTTTTAATATTTTTATTTTGAACTATAGTATAATATATGTTTTATTGGTTGATTTCAGTTCAACCTGGAATATATATCAAGCTTCTTGTATTTCAAACCATATAAAATGTAATGTACTTCAATATTTATTCAATCATTATACCAATTCTTCAATATAGTTGACAATTTGTCTGGTATATTTTTTGGTTCAAGTAAGTTATGGATCGAGATTTTAGTTTTACTAATAATTTATAAAATTGATAGGATAATTAGTCTAATCCTTATCCAAAAACTCTAATACAAATTCAATTTTTCATGGATTTCAAATATGTAGTTGTATTGCAAAATGCACGATTTTATTGATTCATATATTTAATACAATAAATTAATTTTACAAAAAATAAGTCATACTTTAAAACAACTATATACTTGTATTATAAAATAATTTGCATCCAATAATGAACTAAGTTTTAAAATTAGTATATTAACACAAGTAACTTTGTAATACACAAGTATACTTTATTCAAGTAATTCCATTAGTCTAAAGACTTCAAACCTATCTGCCTTATCCACAAATGCACATTCTGTACAGGGTATATACAAACTATTATATTAAGAAATCTACAGAAACTTTTAGCAAACAATATTAATATTTCAATCTAACAATCTATTGCATAAAATTTCAGTACAGTAAAAATTAAAAATAAATTATACATAATCATTTGTAAAAATACTTCATAACATAAACAAGGATCACATTAAAATACTAATACATTAATTTTAAATCACTTTTTTTGATACTTAATTCCTAGTCGAGTGTGTTTGAATTCCCAGACTTAACTGAAAAGGAAAACACTTTCATGATCAACTGAAATACGGTATTGACTGCAACATTAATTTATTTAAATTCAAATTTTTACATAGAAGTTTTTTGAATAAACTGTAAATTTTATTGACTTACTGGGGATAGTGTTGCGACCGTTTCTTTCCCATGTTACAAATTTTGAAGTGACATAGAGTCATATCTATAAATAATAATAAAATGTTAGTTTTGTATTAATTTAATGCAGCAGTATGCAATATTAATTAAAAAAAGATTATTAATGTTTAGTGAATATTTTATCATTTTTTTAGTTTCTACAGACAAAAGCGACTTTATTTTGTAGCGAAAATCTTTTCAATAATGATTATTATAGGAAAATTAATTTAATCTCCTTACTATTATATTATTAACATAATTACTTGTATAACAAAACATAATTTTTTAAACATTTTTTTATCTTATATTGAATTTTTCTTTCACTTTCTCTTTCGTATTTTGTCTTAGTTAAGAAAATTTTTCCCCTTCTCTAACTTCACCAGAAAAGTACAAAAAATACATGCCACAACCGTACTCAATGCACCTTTTTAAAAAGAACCATCGTTATGACTGAGCTAAATTATTGGAGTGTCCGCTTGTTCTTCACGCTTAGACGGCTGTTATGGGTTCAAGAGAGGTCTCAGTAGATTTATCATCCCGTAAGCCTGTCCAATTTTCATGTTAATTACAGTGATTTCCAACCTGTGGGGCGCGCCCCCCTGGGGGGGCGCCATACCGTTTCAGGGGGGGTGCGAAGCTGTTTCAAAAATATTATTTTTAAATGCTGAGTAAGTGCCAAAAACAATCATCAAAATACTTAAAGTACTTCTAGAGTGTTTGAACTCAAAAAGAAATTGCTATATTTCTTGCTGATAACAAAAGAGACGGAGCAATCTTGTTTTAGGACACAAAGTTTCTCGCAAAATTTGCGTATTTAGTTGATATTTTTTGAAGACTTAGCGATTTTAATTAAATCAATGCAAGGATCTCAATTCGTACTTTTGTTAAGAAAGACAAAATTACGGCTTTAATGGAAAAAATTAGAACTGTGTATAGCTAGTATCAAATAACTTTATAACTTTAACTGATGAAAGAAGTAAGTAAAGATCTTATTATTATATCAGTCATATGACTAGTCTACGAAACTAATTTTCGCATTACTACTTTATCTATTACGTCCAAATACGAATGGATTAGAAATCCATTTGTCATTGAGAAACATGATAATTTTAGTCATTCAACAGCAGAGCAGAAAATGATAATTGATTTATCTAAGTAGATAGTGATAGCACATTGACGCAGATATTTCAGGACGAAAATATATTCTTAAGTTTTGGTTACCAGTAAAGGACGATTTTCCTACTTTAGCAAATAATGCTTTAGAAATTTTATTACCATTTGTGAGATCTTACTTATGTGAAACAGAAAATTTTTATAATAAATAGTTATGTTTGTATGTATATTTTTTATAATACTGTGTATTATTTGGCATAATTTCAGTTATATTAAGTATATTTAAATTAAATTGTTAGAAAAATAAGAATGGGAGGGGGGCGCAATAAATTTATCATTCGAAAGAGGGGCGCAAGGAAGAAAAGGTTGGAAACTGCTGTGTTAATATGTATTGTGAAGCTGAGTCTATGGTCCAAGGTCACACCAAGGTATTTGACATCCTTGGACCACTCAACTTTGTGGTCATTACTTTTAGTTTGTTCAAGTCAGTCAGTGTAATGGACCTAAGGCTCTTTGTGAATAAAATTGCTTCCTTTTGCGGATTGACTCTGATCTGCCATTCATCAGTATATTCGGTTAGCTTGTCTATGTGTGTCTTAAGATATTTGTAGTCAGCAGCGTAGATGATCGTGATGATCTGTATATGGCAGTGTAGTCAGCAAATGTCAGTAACGTTGTGTCGGCGTCAGTGGGGATGTCGTGGATGTAGACGTTAAACAGTGACGGTCTCAGGATCGATCTCTGCCACACTCCCCGCCGTCATGGATTCGTTCGTTCGAACCAAGAGAGAAGCAGTATTTTGACATGTGGTTTATCAAAGCAAACAGCTTTCTCGCATCGTGTGATTTGAATGGCTTGAAAACAATATCATAAAATCTAACGCGACAAAATCAAGCATGCTGTCCAGTCCAGAAAACAAGTGTCGTATGAACAGGCCTTAATTGTAGTTTTGATTACTGTTCAAGAAAAGGTCATGCTGAAGTACTATCAATATTTTGAAGATTGTAGTTTTGATTACTGATTACTGTTCAAGAAAAGGTCATGCTGACGTACTATCAATATTTTGAAGATTGAAGCAAGAATCGATTGCTATTTGTAATATTCGCCCGAGGCAGTTTTAAATTAATTTAATCTAACAATTAATTGAATTGAATACAATCTTCCACGTATGAAAACCCAGTAAACACCGAGCGGCGGTAGCAATCTGGAATCCACATGGATTCCACATAGATGTCACAGCGCTGAAGGCACTTTTGTGAATTTCAGATTGCTACCGCCCTTCATATCACACGGTGTTTACTGGGAATAGATGCATTCATATACCATTACACATCCTATCTCCGTCAAAATAGAAAACAGTTAGGTATATCTCCTATTAGGTATTTGGTGTATCTTCTATTCAGTGTTTCCTCTGTTAGGTATTTTTTTAACATGCGTATAAAAACACATAACTCATAACTCATAAATATAAAATTTTACCCTCTCACCACAAGCCCCTATGTTGTACGAATTATTATATAATAAAAAAAAAGCTCAATCAATTCAAAGCTTTTGAAAAAGCTCAATTTTACATAAAACAAAGATAATTTCATTCAATTTAAAAATATGTTCATATTTAAACGCTTCAAAGGTTTCTAAAAATTTTGGCATACATGGCAGTGTGCATATATTTGGGCATACAACTTGTTTTCAGTAGCACGGATCAAACGTTTTGAATGATTGGAGAAATATTCGGTTCCAATTGCCAATACTTTATTGGTCGGGAGACGTACTGGTTAATTTTTAAAAGTTAAAGATTCGGAGAAAAAGGGCAAAAACTTGCAATTCGGTTTTTAAGAGAACGGGGCGTTCTCCCTCGAACAGATCATATTTTAGCCGATTCAACTTCGGATATAGTAACTCTAGTGAGCATACAAACAAAACAATAAAAGAAATCTTACAAGGCCCTTGTTGTCTCCGGCTTTCACGATGCAGCGTGTTGTCTCTAACGGGCACTACTGCAGCAGGTTGCTCAGCTTCATATGCAGGTTCGCGAGATAGCTCTTTTAAGCGCTCTAGTAAACGGTGCTTGTTGATGAACAAGTCCTCTTTGTCGTTCTGGAGTGATTGATACAATTAGTTTAAATTAATGTTAAACAATTATACGATGCTGCATATAAAGTTATTTTTTTTATTGTCGCACAGAGCGGTTGTTTGTACTAATTTTTAATAAGCACTGGATGCCCATTGATTTTTATTAAATTATCAACAATATTGTTTAAATATATATATGGCACGGCATAATTAAATGTTTGAAAAGGAGAGTAAATAATTGACATTTAATTAGTTTTAGCATTCAAAAAATTCTTGGTTTGAACTAAATAGTAATGTGATCAGGGGTGTCATTATTAGACTATGGGCGATGTGTTGGTTTTTTCTATGTTCTATTATAGTATATTGAAATGAGTGAATCACATGATTGCATAATGAAGTATGCAATATTTGATGGTAAATATTTCTTTCTTTATTATTATTTGAACAGCCATCAGAACTTAAAAGTCCTGTAGTCTGCTATGATGTTATTGATTTAATAAATTACGACGGTTTTACAGGTGACATGGCTCATTGTCATCAATGAAAAAACATCTGTAATACGAGAATTTTAATAATAAATGTATTGAAATCTATATTTTCATGTGAAAACCGATGTCACTGCTGCCTAACGTCAATCGGTCCTAACTGAGTGTCGAACCTCTATTAAAATTCCAAAGCTCTAACCACGAACCGACAAAAGAGATGAAGGTAAGTAATAACAATA